CACTGATGTGTATGGGCAATGTTTTACTGCCACCTACAGGGCTGGCGTGTAATTTTGCAACTAGTGGTGTCCCATTTCTTAGGAAGCAACTCTTCACTAGCATTTCCCTTGCTGAGTGGACTTCACTGTGGAGGGAACTCACTGTAGCGTTCTCAGAGCCAAGTGAGAGGAATAAGACCGGGCCTTAATACTGACTGTATGAAAGAAGACAAGATCAAAGTGAGGAGGAACCCGTGAGATGATGACCAGGTCCTACCGGTTAGAACAATGATTTTTATTTTTTTATCAACTTCACCTGCTGACAGTTGATTTCACCTAAACAGATACATTGATCTACTACCATTCAAGAAATAAACCCGTGATATTAGTGCAGTCATGGCAAGCCATTTTGATAAGTACTACGGTAGTTTTACTGAATATGTGTTCCTGATATCTGAAAAAAACATTTCTTTGTCTAAATGACCATTTCAAACAAAGTTACATTCTCCATATCTAGAATAAACATTCTGGATGTCTAAAAATTTATTTTAGATCTCCATATTCCTATTTTTACTGGTTTTAACTATGAAGAAATATATTTCAGATATAAATATTCAGTTTAGCTATCGGTCACTTAAAATGTGTAAATATTTCTAGATATGTAAAACTTAATTCTTATTAGTATAATTCTATTTTTTTACTTTCTAAAATTCAGTTTCTGCTGCAAAAATGTAATTGTAATAAAAATATATTACTACAGTTAGGTTTAAAAGAGGTATTTTGATCCGGAAGAATCTTATTTTAGTAAAATCTATAAATGGAGCAACAGAGAGGAGAGAGCTTTTAATAAATGTAAATACGGCCTGCCATAGACCAATTCATATAAATTTATGCATTAACAATCTTCTCCTTCTCCATCTTCCTCTCCTTTGCAGCTGTAGTGCTTTTACTCTTTTTAACATATTTTCCTTCCTTTTTTTTTTTGCATTTCTGCATTAATATATCTAGTTCCAGAGGGGTAGAATAGGCACTTCCTGTTCCCTGTTGTCATGGTGACTCATCGAATCGGGGCTCCCCTGATAATGTCTTTTCTTACTTGTTACGCACGTGTTTAACTCTGAGTGTTTCTACTTGGAGTTGATGGAACTAATTCATAGCAGCTGTTATGAAACCGAAAACTTTAGGCTGGATCAATTTAGAGATGCTGAATTGAATCTGATTCTCTTAACGGAGAATCAGACAGATGTTCCTCTCTGATACTGAATTTGGAAATTAGTCCTAAAACCTAAGCTTTCTTCTTCTTGATGGATTTTCTGCCTGCTCAGAATCTTGCTTGAAGGTAAATAAGGCTTTAGTATTTAGCTATTACAGCTACTAGTAGGTAGCGACCAGATGAAGACCTGCAGGCTCTTAACAAAATAGGTAGAAAATGCTCACAAACACAGTAAAATGATGATCAACCAAATGTGCATTTGAAAAGAACCAAAGAGAAGCAGTGAAATCATTCAATGATAGGTGAATGGATGTGATGCTTTATGTTTTAACGCACTCACAACTAGAGATAGACAGCGCCTCAGACTTGCAACATTGCTCGATCAGCTGGTTGCAGTTCTCCACCAGAACCTCCAGCTGAGCTTTGTCACAGGACACCCCCAGGAAGCGGGCCAGCTGCTCCACCATCGTCCCCAGGTCCTGGAAAAGCAGCAGAAATCCAGCATATTGTGAAAACGCGCCGTTCAGAGAGCTGCATGGAGTTCCCAGACACCTCAACATTCAGATGGTTTCCCTCTCTGCAGCCATCTCTGGCAGCAACATGTTAATCCGTCCCTGAGGAGCAGGG